TATTGACTGTTCAAATGCGGAGTTTTGCGCATCGTGTGTGTGTGTGTGTGCGCGCGAGCAAGCGAGCGAGAGAGAGAGAAAGAGAGAGAGCGCGAGAGAGAGAGCGAGAGAGAAATCGAGAGATCACACATTTACATTAGGCACTAAGCAGATAACACACACATCACACTATAACTACCTGGGTTTGAAAATCACATCCACGGGAAACTAATCATGTGCTGTGAATGAACTGAGAGATAAAGCACGCAGGGCCTTCTACGCCAGTACAGAAAATACTAATTCTGTGGACAAGTGACCGATTTCAGCCGCGGCTTCAGCGTCTATTTTATAGTGTAGGGGGCGGGCGCTTCGGATTCTAGAGAGCATTTGATTGGACAGAAAGTTTGATGAGATGCTGAAGTACGATGTGACGTCAACAAAATCGTTGAGCCGTTTTGGCGGAAGTGACGAACTGCAAGCTTTGAATGCTTATATCTTCTAAATGCGAATTTTGTCACCGTTTTGGAGCACACTGCCTTATAGATAACCTTAAGACCAACATATTGATACTAACTCCCAAAACACTTTCTTTTTGATTTCATGGGGACGTTAACACGTTAGACTGCACCCCATAAACACAATCAAGCCTAGAAAAAAACCAGTGAACCACCCATTTAATATAAATGACTTTTTTATTCGTAGGGTTTTTTTTTCCTCCAACCACCAACGAAAAGTGTGTCTCACTGGAGAGGCTACATAAGGATCCACCGAAGAACTCATTTACTCGGAGCAGTAGGAAGTTCATTGTAGAGGTTACAAACGGAGTGTTAATGACTCATCCAATCACCTCGGGGAAGGTCTGAGACAAGAGCCAATCGCTATCCTCACAGGACATCATATGAACAAATGAGCGAGCGCAGAGGAAAAATGAGTCAGAATGCAGAATTCTCACGCGAGACGTTGGAACGCAACATAACGAGCCAACTGACGCGACCGCCGTTGACTTGGAAACACTCGCGGCTAGCGCAATGAGTTCAATGTGTTAAAGGCAGAGTAAGGGATTTCTGGTAGCCAATGTTTATATTTGAAATCACCAAAACAAACACGCCCCTACCCCAAAAGGGTCTTGCCCCTATTTTGATAGCTCCGCCCCACATATATGTACGCAACCCAGGCAACGATTAGTTCTGTGAAACAAAGCAAAACCAATGTTATACCGTGTCTACGAACGTGAGCAGCTCGGCGCAACAAATCCCCGACAGAAAACTGCTGCCGGGTTCTATTTATGACGTGCTGACACACGTTTCAAATGGTTTTCAACGGTTGTTTGATCGCGTCCAGTGTAGGCAGACTTTAGTTGTTGTAGACACGGTGTTACTCACCTATTGAGAAGAAACAAAGCAACCTCGGCGTCCGATCGCAGGCCTCCGCTCCTTGAGTTCTCTCCAGCGCTGGAAAGCTGATCCGATATTTACACGGGTCCTACTTCTTGCCTTATCGTTCCGCAGACGTTTTCCTCTTTTGTTTTTTATCCGCCATCTCTATCTTTCTGTCGCTTGGCTCGGCTAATGTCCGTCCCATGCACTGAACGCGCTCTCCTCCACATCATGAGTAGACACGCCCCTTATTGCTGATTGGCTACAAGTTTGTTTTGCGATTCGGCCCGAATCAGTTTTTAAAGCGTTTTTGAAAAATCACTTACTCTGCCTTTAACTGGCACAAGATGCTAGAACCCAATTCAGACTACTCTCCTACTACTCCTTTTCTTTTATTTGAAAAATATAACATTTAGGATATATATAATAAAATATATAATAATATAAAATATAATAAGGCGAGCTTGAATTTGCCAAAGGAATAGAATTTGTAGTTATTTGTCTATTTTTAAGTTATCTTTTTTACTTGTGTATTTATTGTTTGTTTCTTTTAAAACGTTATCTAGCATATCAACAATGCCTTTCTGAATAAGTTTTTTTTTTTTTAATTGTTGAACTATATTAAAATTCAACTGCTTTCGTAATAATAATAAAAAATGCTAATATTTAAATATCTTTAAATTGTCTAACTCTGTCACCACTTTAAAGGCAAAATATATATCTTAGGCTATATTGATTTAGCTTTAGATGTCATCGATGGCAATTCTTTACATTACTGACAGAATGTTTAAAAAAATCACTTGAAATTGAAAAGGTAGGCTGTACGAACCTCTCAGTCTTCCTACTTTGTTTCATAGTGGTGGCTTTTATTTCATATTAAGCATAATATCAAATGACCACCGTTTTACCTAGTGGGTAACTATGGTTACCATGGTAAATCTTGGAAAGGGCAGTAAGCGCAAAGTGCGCGTGGCTCCGGGGCGGGTGGCTCGCGGGTCCATCATAGAACAGTTACCCAAACGACTTTCCCGTCAGTAACAGCTCCGTCGCTCATCTTTACTCGCTCGCTCAACACTAACACACACTCAACCGGAACATCTGATTCTTTTGTGAAGGTTAGCTGTGTGGTTAATGCGTGTTTCGTGCCTTCTCTGCTCGGTGTTCCAGCACCGCGCCCGGATGGAAATGTGTCTTCCGGGGAAAAGCTGCTTTCAGCCAACGAGACACAGTGCACAGCACGCCGCACAGCCTGGACATCTGCAACTTTCAACAGAAGCGTGTGCCTTTCTAAGAACGCATGCGGTTTGAGACGCAGATCTATGGCCAGACCTATGCATCCCAGAGGGAAGGAGAGCCGTGGAAAATCTGATAGAGGCTCGTAAGAGCTCAAACCCCATCATTTTGCGATTTCATTGTGATCTAAGTGCCGTCATTCATGGATGTGGAAGCAGAGGCGGGTCCGCTGAACGTGCAGACGGTGGATGAACCACCGGGAGGCGCCACCGTTATCGTAGCCGCCGCAGAGATTCAGGTCCAAACGGTGCTAGGGAGCGATGGCGAGCTCAGTGAGGATGACCTGCAGTCGAGCGCTGGAGCTCAAACACCGGCAGCGGGTGATCCGATCACAGAGATCGAGGATGGTGCACGGGCAGGGACGGAAACACCGGCCGAGGACATCGTCGGGCAGAGCGCGTGGAAATCGGAAACAGTGGGCTCCAGCTGCAGCAACGAGAGCTGCATCCCGACTCCAGGCTGTCGGATTTGCTTTCAAGGAGCCGAGCAGGTGATGTCAGACCGTTCATTCGCTCCGTCTGCGTTATTTATTGTCTGTCTATGTATTGCAGGGTTCCTCAAATCTTGCCCTGGAGGGCCAATGCGCTGCAGAGTTTAGCTCCAACCCTGATCAAAGTCACCTACCTGTGATTTTCTAATGATCCCGAAGACATTGATTGGCATGCACAGGTGGGTTTGATTAGGGTTAGAGCCAAACTCTGCAGGAAAGTGGATCTCGTGGGCCAGATTTGAGGATCCCTGATGTATTGTATATATGCGTCACACCGACGTCTTTGGTTGTAGCCAGGATTGTGCGCCATTCAGAATTGAACTGAGAATGTCTTTTAAACTCCAATTCAATACCTGAACTTGAACGGAATTTGAATTTAGTAAACAGCAAACGAATCTGAATGTCATTAAATTTTTTTTATTCATTTAGCAGATTTTTTTTATCCGAGCGACATCTCAAGCATCGAAAGCGTAAACATTAATAGTATAAAATAAACAGATTTCACAATAAAGTGTACACAAATGTAATTATATATTTTGCATAAATTATTATATATCAAATAATTCTAAATATATAGTGTTATATATAAAAAAACCTATAATAATTTGTGTTTGGTTTATATGTTTCAACTTATTTAATAAATTATGTTTTGTGGAGCAGGAATTCATTTCCTACAATGCACTACCTGTGTTGAATTTCTCTTCCTATCATTCCAATTCAAATTCAGTTTCAACTTTCTGTTGGTCAATCAATTAATCAATCACTGAGAATCCTCCTAGGTTCATATACTGAAAGCATTTTTTAGATGAAATCTGGTTCGAGGCCAGTGATCCCAATGAAAGTGGCTAATGCAATTTAAATAGAAACTCATGAATTACATTAGAGCCAGTTGATGAATTCTGAATTTGGTTGTCCCATCCTGATGTTGGTCTTATGCAGGTAATGGGAGTCAAAGCAGTTCACAAATAAATCCAGCTGTTGACAAGTGTTAGGATAGCATGAGAAATATAGCCTTGTAAATAAAAATTTATTTTGGGCCTACATAATTAATGCAATTATAAGAATATTGGAAACCTTGATGATTCTTAATGCTTTAAACAGATAGTGTGGTGTGTGTGAGATGGTGAGATCCATTAGAATACCTGCTGCGCCATTCATGTCTAATGCTCTTCACTTCCTGCGGCTAATGTGCTTCCTCGAGGCGCCTTGTGTTTGTGTGTGTAAGTGTGTGTGAATGAGTTCCATTCTCTTTCAGACTCATTATAGTTCTAAATGAGGATGTTTCTGAAATTATTCATGAATGCACAGATGAATCATTTCCCGTCCACTCACAGAGATGAATCTGTCATTATGTGCATAGTGTTTCATTCACTCTAAATGTTCTCCTCATTTAGACGAAACCGCTAATGTGTGCCATTGTTCACGGTTCCACAACCTCAATGCTCAACTCATCTGCAAAAGCACACAATAAAACAATGATACAGCAGTGAATCATCAGCTCAACTGAATCTGTCTTTTATTTTGATTGGCTGATTGACACGTCTGTCTGTGTGTCTTGTGATTGGCTGCAGGGGGAGCTGCTGAGCCCGTGCCGCTGTGCTGGTTCTGTCCGACATGCTCATCAGCAGTGTCTGCTCAAGTGGATCAGTGAGAAGGGCTCCTGGAGCTGTGAACTCTGCAACTATAGATTCAACATCCTGCCTATACATATCAAACCACCACAACAGGTAAACACACTGGGATTTATGATATATCGCTCAGGGCTCGGGACTAAGAAAATGACTCCAAAAATGAAGCATTTAGGAACAGTTTTGAACAGAACATTTCTGTTTCAAACTAAAATTCCCATTCACACCAAGAGTGATAAAGATAACTATAACAATAACTATATTAGTGTCCATACCAGCGGACTATAAAGTTCTGTTTATTATAAACTTGCACTGCAGTTTCGTCTGCCACTTTAAATGCTCAAACTCTTTAAAGGGGTCATATATTGCTGCTAAAAAGAACATTATTTTGTGTATTTGGTGTAATGAAATGTGTTTATGCGGTTTAAGGTACAAAAAACACATTATTTTCCACATACTGTACATTATTGTTTCTCCTCTATGCCCCTCCTTTCTGAAACGTGTCGATTTTTACAAAGCTCATCGTTCTAAAAAAGCGAGGTGTGCGAGGTGTTGCATCGCGCCGCGTAAACATAAAACCATGTCTGCATTTGTGAGAGAAAGGAAAAATTGAAATCGCATCAAATCATATGACCCCTTTAAATTCGGGTGAATTGTTTCTGAATGGCTGTCAATGTTTTTTTCAGTCATCAGCAAGAAAAAAGTGATTCTAAAGTGATTCCAACACTCCTAGGTTTTGTTATTGTTATAGTTGTGGTTTGGACTTCGCCATTTCGTTTTCACTAACTCAATAAAATGAACTAGATCAGAATCATTTGTTTGCGAATCAGACACCACAGCTTGTGCTGTGTTTGTTGTTGTTGTTGACTGTCTGTCACCAATGGTGACTGGATTTTTAATTAAAAACAAAATTTTTATGACATTTATGATCAGATTAAAGCTGGAATACATTACACAACTTTTGCCCAGATTTTTTCCCCGATTTACAGTCTGGACAAATCAATGCTAGTTGCCAGAAGTCAGAGCCAGTCTGCATATGGGAAGTCGTGGCCTAATGGTTAGAGAGACGGACTCGTAACCCAAAGGTTGCGGGTTCGAGTCTCGTGCCGGCAGGGATTGTAGGTGGGGGGAGTGAATGTACAGCGCTCTCTCCCACCTTCAATACCACGACTGAGGTGCCCTTAAGCAAGGCACCGAACCCCCAACTGCTCCCCGGGCGCTGCAGCTGTGGTGTGTGAAAAATGGCTGCCCACTGCTCCGGGTGTGTGTTCATGGTGTGTTTGTGTTCACTGCTGTGTGTGTGCACTTTGGATGGGTTAAATGCAGAGCACTAATTCCAAGTATGGGTCACCATACTTGGCCACGTCACGTCACTTTCACTTTCATATTTGAGTTGACAGATTTAACAGAAAATCATGTAATATGTGATCGGTACAGATATTTTTCACCAGGCTATGATTTCATCCAGTCGGAGGATGTCAAACATGTTTGATATTTTGAGACACATTTAGAACACACATATTATTTTCATTTGTCATGCATCTCCTAGCAACAAGGCACATGTTTCTGCCTGAATTTGTTGTTTTCAGAACAGCTTGAAAGTCTGTTATTGTGTAAACCTTAGTGCAGTATGCCCCGTTTTTTTCTGTGACCATTTACAAAGTCTGTAAGTGTATGATTCCAAATGTTTTTAAAATCTGTTCAGATTTGAAGTCATGTAGTGTATTCCAGCCTTTAGTCTCAGCCTGGAGCTTGAATCAGTGACTGTGTTTGTATGTTTTGCCAGTGGCAGACTGTCACCATGACTCTGGTGGAAAAGGTTCAGGTCATTGCAGTGTTGCTGGGTGGCATCTTTCTGCTGGCCAGTGTATCATGGCTGCTGTGGTCAGCACTGAGCCCGGAGGCTCTATGGCAACGCAGTGACATCCTGTTCCAGATCTGCTATGGCATGTATGCAGTCATGGACATTGTGTGTTTCGGTGAGTCACAAATATATGCACGAAAACCACATTAGTCCTATACAACTCAGTTTTCTCCAGCTAATATGCAGATTTTGCGGGTTCATGTCCATTTAACTATGGCTGACAAATCTAAAATACCCTGTAAAAAGTTGGGCTGGTTTGACAATGACGATTAATCGATTTTAATCGATCTTCATTTCGATGAATAATAGCGATTCTCAAGTCCCAAGATCAACCTTTTAGTCTATGCTGATTTCGGCTGATGCATTAAAATAGCATTAAAACTTATTTGTAGCACCTCCCATCTAATAATAGCATGATTTTGATTTGAAACAAAGTTTCATCTTTCAAATTCGATTAATTTATATAACGAAATCCAAACAATACACCTTGTTTTGGCGCTCTAATGTGGTGACAGATTTTTGAAGCCACCCCAGTTCAAGCCGATTGTTTCTTCCCTTTTATCGCACAAAATAAATATGAATGACCAGCAGAAGTTATGTTTAAGTAACAGTACAACTTATTGAAAACTATCATGTTTCGTGAATCGCTCAATCAGTGTTACAACCACGGAAAGAAGTCAAGTAAACAGCTTGTAAACAATGTCACGTAATGTTACTTTTTCCTCAGAAAAGCCATTCTATGTCCATAGCTTGTTAGCTAGGGGAAAAAAAACTTTAGAGAGCATTTGAAAAATGCTATATTAAAAAATATTATATTATATTCATTATTTTTACTTAACCTGTTAGTGATATTTAATGTGTTTGTTTTTATGACAGCCACTAGTTTAAATGTTTATATTTCATCAATGAATTGGAGTAGAAATATATCATTATAAAAATTGCCTATAAAAATGTGCAATTTATAGTGTTGATTATTATATCCAAACATAAATAGCAACTAAATGTAATAATTTGAACTCTGTTGTTAGTTTGAACTTTTAATAATATACCAACTAACAGGGTTGTATAGTTCACAGCTTTAGTTAAGATTTTTTTACCTTAAGAGAAATTGATATGTGTTCTACCATATACATACAAAGAAATAAATCAATATCAAATCAAATTTGTAATCCAGCTTGTGAATCAAGTCAATAAGCAGCCCTATTAAAAGTGTTTACAAGTGCTAATAATACGTTTGTGTTTCAGGTCTGATTGTTCATGAAGGTGGTGCTGTGTACAATGTGCTGATGCGCTGGCGGGCTGTTAATCTCTTCTGGGACGTCCAGAACTACGATAAAAGCCGAGACCTGGAGAGCACGCACAGCCCGCACCGCAACCTGTGGCTGCCTCTCACACACACACATACAGTCTCCAACACACACTCACAAACCACCCGACTGGAGTCATCGCCTCGATGCCCCCTCCGCCTCCTCTCCATGTGCCTGAATGTGACCTCTAACCTCTCCCCGCAGGAGCAAGTCTCAGGCGAGCTGGTCGTTAGGGTCACGTCAGTTTGACATCAAATGAAACTCTTTCAGGGATCAATCAAACGTCCTTTGTGGGAGTGGCTAACCAGTGGGAGGAGCCTCAGTGTTGGGAGGAGCCTTACTTGAAAAGCACTTTAGAAGATACACAAACTGAATTAAATACAGTATTAAGTTGCATTGTATACTGAACAGGTGTTTCCAGCCTGAAGTTCAGCCTTTGAGCATCGAAGTAAGACTGCAAAGCTCTCCGCACACACACAGACTTATAAAAAAAATTATAATGCACACAAAATGTATTACTGCTGTTAGACGAATGAATGTTTGTTTTAAACCAATTGTTTTTATGTTCAGGTTTTTAATAATTTCAGTACTGATAAACTACAACTTATCACTGCTGCTGTTCATTACGCTTCACCTGCCATATTGTACAGGTTACCACAGTTACAGGCTTTTTCACATTAAGCCGCATTTCCACTATCTCAGACTCGCGTGCGATCGTTACATTTTGCCCCTTGTGGCAGCCGCATGGTATTTTCAAATTGGTTGTGAAGCAGCAGTTACCCTTTGCTTATTCACCATGGTAAAAAAATAAATGAATGCATATCCATACAAAACAAATGAGCACAGATAACGACAACGCTGCTGAAAACATTGATTTCACAAGTAAGTAGTATAGAAAATTTGCAAAGGGGTAGCAAAAGTCGTTGAGAAAATGTTTAAAAAAATTAAATACCAAAAAATGATTTAGGTTTATGCATCTAGCAGACACTTTTATCCAAAGAGACGTACAATGACAGAGCATAAGCAATTTGTCATAGAGCCAACAATATTGACATATGGCAGGTTTATTAGAAAGCTATAGGAAACAAGCTAAAGCAGAGGTGAAATGCTATGGAAGCCCGTTTCCGTCACACTCACAAACCACCCGACTGGAGTCATCGCCTCGATGCCCCCTCCGCCTCCTCTCCATGTGCCTGAATGTGACCTCTAACCTCTCCCCGCAGGAGCAAGTCTCAGGCGAGCTGGTCGTTAGGGTCACGTCAGTTTGACATCAAATGAAACTCTTTCAGGGATCAATCAAACGTCCTTTGTGGGAGTGGCTAACCAGTGGGAGGAGCCTCAGTGTTGGGAGGAGCCTTACTTGAAAAGCACTTTAGAAGATACACAAACTGAATTAAATACAGTATTAAGTTGCATTGTATACTGAACAGGTGTTTCCAGCCTGAAGTTCTGGATCAGCCTTTGAGCATCGAAGTAAGACTGCAGAGCTCTCCACACACACACAGACTAATTCAAAATGATAATGCACACAAAATGTATTACTGCTGTTAGACGAATGAATGTTTGTTTTAAACCAATTGTTTTTATGTTCAGGTTTTTAATAATTTCAGTACTGATAAACTACAACTTATCACTGCTGCTGTTCATTACGCTTCACCTGCCATATTGTACAGGTTACCACAGTTACAGGCTTTTTCACATTAAGCCGCATTTCCACCATCTCCGACATACGTGTACGATCGTTACATTTTGCCCCTAGTGGCAGCTGCATGGAACTTTCAAATTGGTTGTGAAGCAGCCTTTACCCTTAGCTTATTCACCATGGTAAAAATAAATAATGTATATCCACACAAAACAAATGTGTGCCGATAACGACAAAGCTGCTGTAAACATTGATTTCACAAGTAAGTAATATAGAAAATTTGCAAAGTGGTAGCAAAAGTCGAACAAACGTTGAGAAAACGCTAAAAAAATTACATTTAGATTTATGCATCTAGCAGACACTTACAATGGAGCATAAGTATTTTGTCAACAATATTCATGTATCATGGCAGGTTTATTGGGAAGCTAGATTAGGATACAAGGTAAAGCAGAGGAGAAATGCTATGGAAGCCCATTTCCGTCACAGAATAAAAAAAAGTAAATTAATAAAAATGATAATTGCGACTTTTTGTCAAACAATTCAGAATTGCGAGACAAACTAAAATTCACATTTTTCCCCCCAAAATTCAGAGTTTGCATTTCGCAATTCTGACTTTTCCCCTCAGAATTCTGAGTTTACATCTCGCAATTCTGTTTTTTGTTTCCACCAAGGAATAAAAATTAAAAACAGTATTGCGACTTTTTATGTCAATATTCTGACTTTTTCAACTTTCAAATTGCAAGTTTATATCTCCCAATTCTGATGAAAAAAAAAGCAAATTATGATAAAAAAATGTCAGAATTGGGAGATATAAAACAGAATTGCAAGAAAAAAAAGGTCTGAATTGTCAGCTGCAATTACCTTTTTTTTATTCTGTGGCAGAAATTGGCTTCCATAAAATGCATAGAAGACAAAAATAAATCAATGCTAGGGTGTTGTGGGTGGTTGGGCAGGCGGTCTCATGTGGTCGAGATGCAAAAGTTCAATTATTTCAACACATCCGAAGCTCAAATCGGATCTGAAAATTCTGCATACAGTCAGAACGCCACACAGCTCCTGTACTACTCTCCATTAGAAATCAAAGACTTCAGAGATTAATGCCACGCCAGACAAGGCTGCGAATACATTGATTTCACAAGGAAGTAGTGGAGAAACACAAGGGATTGCAAAAGTTGCACAAACATTGAGAAAACGTTAACTTTTGCTGCAATGCATTCTGTTGTAGGAATCTGTGTCAATATGAAATTCTGTGTCAATTTATTCCCACCTGATTTTAAATGACCCTCAGAAAGATCTTACACATTGTCCTCTGTCAATGCTTAAAGGCCCTACATCTCATGTTGCTTGTATTAAGAGCAGAAACTAACTGACTTTGGACTATTAGTCTCATACTAAGACTCATACAAAATTCATAAAGAAATGGAGCTGGTGGTTAGATATTGTGATGCTGGTAACCATTGTGCCCTGAAGATACAAAACCCTAGCTGAGCGATTTAAGAAGCGATTTAATACTGATATACAAGTAATATAAAATGTTAGGAGTGAAATAATTACAAATATGTTTTAACATCATAAGCACATTGAAAATCTTCTTAAGCAGCTCACACCGGAAATGCAAATATATCTGCAGATTTTCATTCAAAATCAGCACAGAAAATATTAAAAAGTCCACTGATTCCATCTGGGCACATTGTGTTTCTGTCCTTGAAACTTGACCTGCGTTCATGACTTGGTGCTAGCTGATTAGCATAGCCTACAAAAGATTTCATTCAGATGTCCCAGAGATGTAACAAGTGTTAAATGAGAGTCTTCTGTCAGAGAAACCCATTCTGTACTGCACAGAGCGAACATGAATGAACATTTTAATGAATGTAAGAGTCTTTGAATTTTGTTATATTTATTGCCTATAAACTAATGCACAGTAAAGATACAAAATGAGAAAGATTTTTTTGTTTTAGTGTTTTTATAGGCTTACAGTAGAAAAATAACAGGACCAGAGGGAGTAAATCCAATAGTATTATCACAATCCTGCTGTTCAACAGAAAAGGTTTATAAAATATACAGCTCTTTAGAATATATATAACATACATTATAAACATTGTACATATAAAATAGACACAAAGGGCACTCTTTGTGTTTGCATATGTGTGTATATTTCTGTGTGTGTTTTTTAAAGGCACAGGATTTGAGTGCTGGTTATTTCGGACTGGACTTTCTGCCTGCAGAATTCCAAAGAAATGCAACTGGACTTGACTTAAAATGTTAATACAACGTAAAATATGGGGCTCAGTGAACAAACAACAACTCAATGTGTGTGTCTGTGGGAACATGATAGTGTCTGTTGTGAAAGTGTCTCATGATATTGTCTTTGTTTTTTTCGCACTCGCCATTTAAGGGTCACTTTTTTTGCCAATTCGTAATTAAACTGTTCCGTTTGCTGATGCTTAACCTCAAAGGCACATTTATGAAAAGTGTGTCAGAAGTGGGAGATCACCAGTTGCTGCCGTGGCTGCTGATGGATTGACAAGTGCTGAAACGTTTCTTCACTATTAGACTGATGTACGCCTTCATGAGCTTTGCAATGCCCATCACCTACAGAGACAAACACAAAGAGGAATCTAGTGTTATTTTATTGATATTTTTTATTTATTTTTATATTAGTATTATTTTTATTTTATAGTTATTTTAAGTTAAACTAAACAAAAGTGAGAAATAAAATGTTAAATTTTTAATGTATTTTATTTTATTTCAGTCAATGTCGTATTTAACAAATTTTTTTGTTAATGCTTTTTATGGTTTTAGTTAACAAAAATAATAATCCTGGAAGAAACATATGAACATTCAGGCCTTCATAATGTCCAAAAAACAAACACACACAAACAAATAAATAAATAAAATAAAACAATGACTGTTTTTAATATTTTCTGAAGTAATTATGAGGAGTGTTCTGTGTAAAATTTGGGTGTTATGGTGGTTGCTAAGTGGCAATGGTGGACATTGACGAAGCATTATTACTCTATTACTGTATTTGTATCACTTTTATTTTTGGAAACATTTTACCGTATATCAATGCATTATATCTTATTTTTATTCCACTACATTAAAAAAAAATGACATTTCATTACTCTGAGACATGATAGTGTTGTCTGATTCATGATGAATCATTTTTTTGAGTGATTTTTTTTTTCAATAAACCTGTTGAGCTTCAACAGCCCTGGATTCACAAATCCAGGGCTGTCCAAACTCGGTCCTGGAGGGCCGGTGTCCTGCAGAGTTTAGCTCCAACTTGCCTCAACACACCTGACTGGAAGTTTCTATGCCTTGTAAGAGCCTGATTAGCTGGTTCAGGTGTGTTTAATTAGGGTTGGAGCTAAACTCTGCAGGACACTCTGTTGTGAAAGTGTCTCATGATATTGTCTTTGGTTTTTTCGCACTCGCCATTTAAGGGTCACTTTTTTTGCCAATTCGTAATTAAACTGTTCCGTTTGCTGATGCTTAACCTCAAAGGCACATTTATGAAAAGTGTGTCAGAAGTGGGAGATCACCAGTTGCTGCCGTGGCTGCTGATGGATTGACAAGTGCTGAAACGTTTCTTCACTATTAGACTGATGTACGCCTTCATGAGCTTTGCAATGCCCATCACCTACAGAGACAAACACAAAGAGGAATCTAGTGTTATTTTATTGATATTTTTTATTTATTTTTATATTAGTATTATTTTTATTTTATAGTTATTTTAAGTTAAACTAAACAAAAGTGAGAAATAAAATGTTAAATTTTTAATGTATTTTATTTTATTTCAGTCAATGTCGTATTTAACAAATTTTTTTGTTAATGCTTTTTATGGTTTTAGTTAACAAAAATAATAATCCTGGAAGAA